GTTCATATAAACATACTTTTTTACAATCAAATTGCTGTTGGTGAAAACAATTCTGAATGAGGTCATTAAATAGAGTTTATCATAACTTTTGGATATCCATACTAATCGTGCTTCAAAGCTGCAAAAAAGTGTCCTCGTGTTGTACATCTAACCTTGCACACTTTGTAGCCTGGCCACATGCTCTGCATTTAAGTTAATGCACATAAATAACTTATTTTACATGTTATTTAACCCCCTAATCACAAAGGTAACAGTTCATGCATTTAATGTTTGGGTGTGCAGTTAAAATCACATTCAAATAAATGAAAAAAAAACTAAATTATAACTTGTATCCTTAACAACTTGGCAAATCATCTTGAAAATGTTAAGAGTATATATTTTATGTGTTGAAAACTTGACATTTATATAATCCTACATAAAATGTATTCAAATGTCACATATTATCAGGTAAATCTAGAAAACAATTTAAATATAGAAGAGGTTATTTTTTACTACATTGGGAGGAGGTTGATCTCTTCAGTTTATTGGTCAAGGATATGAGTTTGTGTTTTCTACAGAAAAATGATGCAACTTTTTAACTGTTTTATATAAAATAATTGTTGTCACATTGAGGCATATACCTCTCAATGAAAATAATATCCCTACCCCCCCCCCCCTACCACTGCCTGTACCATAGTCTTACACCAGGACTATACAGAAGAGAAAGAAGAAATTAGACAATGATCTAATGATTTCTACTTGTATGCAGAATGTGAATACCAAAGTATTGTCCATTTTTGGATTAGGATTTTTATACTACATGCAGTACTATTTATTTATTTCAATGTCAAGTTTGGAGTAGCCCATATCCAGGCCCATATCATCCTTTACCCAAGGGTATTTCAATTTATTTCATGAGCTTTGACATTGATGCCCAATTGTGAAAGATGACCCATAAAATATTAGGGTGCCCATGGTTGTAATGTACATGTATAATAAATATAGTAATAAAATACATGTTAATGTGTATTGAATGTAACCCTTTGCAACAAGTTTCAATTTGGATTTATATATATTTGATTTTTAGTATTAATATCCGGGTCTCAGTGTACATAATGATTTTAATTTTAAAAATTATTGGAATTTCTAATTTCACCAATCCTGAATTATAAATAAAAAACATGTCATAGTTTTGCCAAGAGCAAAAATGTAAACATAAAACTATTTCAACAATTTGAATTATGGCATTGTGGGATCCACAGCCTTTACTATCCTTTTGGAATAGTTCAGACTGTGGGATATTGACTGTAATAAATGTTTCCTTTAACCCTAAAATGTACGGACCAATCAAATTATTTATAGAGTTCTATTGACCATGAGTATCATGGGAAGGCATTACCTGCAGTTGCATGATTACATAATCAGACAAAGCCTAATGAGTGTGACCAAACACAATGCCCTCTTAAATAATCCAAGTGTTGACATTTGCATGATAATTATTGTTTAAAATTCTAAATTGGAAAACAATAAGAAAAAAGAAGTATGTCAACATTATCATAGTTATTAATTTTCAATATAAAAACAAGAACCATCAAGATAAACAAAAGTTTTCCACATAATGAATTCATTGAATTAAAGTTTACAAAGGGGAAAACAGGACGGTGCATTCTTAGGCACTAATTTATTCCTCCATATACACTGATTTACTTGGAGAATGCACTGGCTAGGAACATGTTCTGCCTCACGATATATCAGAGTCTCTCAAAAGCGTTAGGTAAAGAGGGAATCTGATAAATCAGAATGGAACTATGGTATCAAGTACGTATTTAAACAATATATATTCACATGACGTTTTGGATTAAAAACACTCAGATTTGTTACATTTGTTGAACATGTACTGTACATATTTAACATTGTCAAGTTCAATATTAAACATCAAAATTTAGTTAAGGATTGATAATGTATTTAGCTATTCTATTTTCCAATATTATATTTCAGCAACATTTAAATTAACATGTGCACAGACATGGACTATAATTTGTGCCATCTATATGAAATAGAGCACATCTAAATACTGCACATGTGTAGAAGTTTAGAAAACAAAAACATAGTTAAGTAAAGTAGTATTGTCAAAATGGTTAACCAGTTCTTTCAATGAAAACTTCATATTACGCCTGAATTGGTTAGCCGAGATCCTGAGTCCGAGATGTATAGTTGTCGTTCGTAGTTTTCTGTATACTGTAGTGTGTCATTTATGACATGATTATTGAATCAATAAAAGATCCAGAGTGTCAAAACGTAATACATTAAGTAGATGAAGCTCTCGTTAAAAAAGCAAAATCAATCTTTTGGAAAGAGTAAAATCTAAATGGTCATTAAAATTGAGATCACTGTGATAAAAACAAATATCAAAAATGCAGGAATGTCAGAGAAAGAATGTGTTAAGTGACCCTGTTACCCCCTAGCCTCTGTAGGCCAAAGGGTCAAGAGAATCAATGGACTTAATGTCCTTTGTATTTGCACAGAATTAATCACTTTACTTCTAAATATGTAGATATTGCTTTGAATATACAAACTAACATGGGAAAATATTGTTTACCTTTGTAAGCCATTTTTGACTTCTAAGCTGGCCTGGGTATACTTGTATGAGGTTGGAAGAATTGCAAATCAAGATGTGCATGTCGAACATGGGAGTTTTGAATCATTGGTATTTGTGCAAACTGAATGAAACTGTCACAGTCTTGGTCTATAAAGAATTAAACAACTATACAGTCTTATTTGAATGCTACTGTAACTAGCCCAAAGGTGTTCTGATTACACAACTGGCGGAAAAGTGTTCAGATAACACAACTGGCCTAAAAGTGTTTTGATCACACAACAGGCCCAAAAGTGTTCTGATCACACAACTAGCCCAAAAGTGTTTTGATCACACAACTGGCCCAAAAGTGTTTTGATCACACAACAGGCCCAAAAGTGTTCTGATCACACAACTAGCCCAAAAGTGTTTTGATCACACAACTGGCCAAAAAGTGTTCTGATCACACAACTAGCCCAAAAGTGTTCTGATTACACAACTGGCCCAAAAGTGTTCTGATTACACAACTATCTGATTACACAGCTGGCCTAAAAGTGTTTTGATCACACAACTGGCCCAAAAGTGTTCTGATCACACAACTAGCCCAAAAGTGTTCTGATCACACAACTGGCCCAAAGGTGTTCTGATTACACAACTGGCCCAAAAGTGTTCTGATCACACAACTGGCCCGAAAGTGTTTTGATTGCACAACTGGCCCAAAATTGTTCTGATCACACAACTAGTCCAAAAGTGTTCTGATCACACAACTGGCCCGAAAATGTTCTGATTGCACAACTGCCCCAAAGGTGTTTTGATCACACAACTGGCCCAAAAGTGTTCTGATCACACAACTAGCCCAAAAGTGTTCTGATCACACAACTGGCCTGAAAGTGTATTGATTGCGCAACTGGCCCAAAGGTGTTCTGATTACACAACTGGCCCAAGTGTTCTGATCACACAACTGGCCCGAAAGTGTTTTGCTTGCACAACTGGCCCAAAATTGTTCTGATCACACAACTAGTCCAAAAGTGTTCTGATCACACAACTAGCCCGAAAGTGTTCTGATTACACAACTGCCCCAAAGGTGTTCTGATTACACAACTGGCCCAAAGGTGTTCTGATTACACAACTGGCTCAAAAGTGTTCTGATTACACAACTAATCCAAAAGTGTTCTGATTACACAACTGGCCCAAAAGTGTTCTGATTACACAACTGACCCAAAAGTGTTCTGAATAGACAGGTGTTCCCAAAGAGCTTTTTAATATGGTAATCTTAAGCAGATTAAAATGAGGCATTAACATGCAAAATGTCACCAACTGCCATTTGTTAGACCACGAGTGCTTAATACCAACCAATGAACACCATCTCAAAATGTTATATAATTTAACAATATGTCACCACTTCTGGTGGAGATGTAAAAATTGGAATAAAAAAGCATTAACCTTGAGAGATTAGAGAGCCTTTTGGATACATAGATATTATGAATTTGCAACCACAAATCAATTGAAGAATGTTAGACCGCAAGTGAAATTGGTATAATGTTTCATAAGTGTAAGTCATAATCAATCACTTGGTATTGTTTTTACTATTGGCCCTTGAGCTTAACTGTAGCTTTCAATCGCATCTTGTATTTAGTTTCCACAAAAAGGCCACGATGACCAATCAATATGCTAACCGCAGACTTGGTATAGTTTTATCTGTGGTGACACATTCATGTACATGTCATGTTGGACATCGTTTCCATTCAAGCATATTGACTGGTGGTTGTTATTGTTTCTGTAGTATTAGACTTACACGCAGTAAAACTTGTCTAATCCAAATGCCATTGGGACCGGCGCGCTCGGATAAGGTGTTCACATTTCGAGATGTACTTATATCACAGGGTGGGAAATATCTAATCAAGGAAAGGAATCAGAGCATGACATTTTATTAAAAATTAGTTGGAGTTTGGCACAATTTGTTTCTGAACTTGAAAACCGCCTAATCTCAGACAAAATACACCACTCCATGCTATGGCAAATCCAATCATTCTTCAGCAGGAATTTTGTTCTGATACAGTACAATGTTATTTAAAAATGGTGCAACTTTTTACCATATTCACACGCTGATTGGATCAGAGTGATAGGTTTGATCTGATTTATGACCCGGACTGTCTCTTGCAACAGTCATGGGGGTGGGGCTGCTGAACTGTAATATAGTCTATACTAGGCAGAGGGTAGTTTATAACTAGACTGCATGCTGGGTATAAAGTATGAAACGAATAATGTGTACCTTAAAATAACATTAAGGACTTCAATTTGGAAGCCATTAAAATTTCTGAGCATGCAGATATACCTTAATTTGATAGAAAATGTGAAAAAGGTTATTCCATAAAATGTTGGTAAATTTTAACCCATGGACAAATCAAACCACGGTCCTTTTGACCCTTTGGCCTATAGCGCCTACCTTTGTCATCCAAACTAATTGCATCATCTTCATCAGTAATTATGATAGTTGGAGGTTCGACGTTCAGCATACTTTTTGATATGTACACACTTGTACTTGGTTCTCCATGGTCAGACCCACCATCAGAACCAGTATCATAAGAGCCAGAACTCTGTAAAGATTCCACAGATTTCGCAGCAGCACTCCAACTGTTCCGCCTCAATGTTGGCGAGTCAATTTTGACGACTTGTGGGATAATGTCTGTTGTAGATCCCAATGACATTATCCAGGAATTGATAGCTCCTTTGTTTTTTCCACTCATTTTATAGAACTGAATAATGGCGATTGTTATTTAATATTTTATTTCAGCTGTGTATAGTCCATTTCCTAATGTCATACTCATACTATTTTCGTAGTATACAGGTAGTAAATTTTGACTAGATCAATAGAGTGTAAATTGTTACTTCATCAGTAGAACCATTAAGTATCATCACTGCAAAAAATCCTAGCAATTTATCACAATTACTTCAAATGTAACAGTGATTGTATGCATCTCCATCTTTGAGTTAAACTCCTCCATTAATCCTTCTTATATCATCCAATCACAACCAAAAGTTTCAATCTTTTTAAATTTGTGTCAAAATGATTAATTCCGGCTAGTTGATTGTAAGAACATACCTCATAAACTGAGAACACAATTAAGGTGATGTTTCTAAAACATCCTGTTTGAGCGATTGTGTATCAATTAGCCTTTAGTTAGCCTCATTGTCCATTATTAGCCGTCTAACTGAATAGGTCTTTATCTATCAATTATTGAGAAGTTTGAGTTGTCAAGGATATGCAGAAATCATGCTATGTTATACTGACTTTACAGACAGAGTCAATCGCTGATGTTTTCTCGTGTGTACTATACGCAATGTTATCTGTTTCCTGAACTGTTGTATCCTAGAGTAAAACAGGAAAGCGTCATTTGTCGATGTAGATTCAAGTTGAGGTTAAATTTACAGCAATGTCAGGAAAATATTCATTTTTTGCAGTCTAAATTGTAGAGGTAGATTCAAGTTGAAGTTAAATTTACAGCAATCTCAGGAAAATATTCATTTTTTGCAGTCTAAATTGTAGAGGTAGATTCAAGTTGAGGTTGAACAGCAATGTCAGGAATGTGAAAAACTGTGAATCAATTGTAGTTTCCAAGTATTTCAATTTGTAAATGTACTTATACACTCAAGCTAGTGTATCTATATTTATTTTGAGTATTATCCTGTATAGTATACTTTATCCTGAAGTCCTTATAGCTAAGATACTGATCTGATTAGCTGTGATTACACTTTAAATGTGTCACATTGTTTATAATTGAAATTTGAATAATCTGATAATAATATTAAATCATTGCACAATTATATCAGTCCTTCCTCCCAATCTAGAAGTTGTTATAGCCTTGTATGAATGTAATGGCTAGTGTAGTATAGTAATTAGCTGACCAATATGAAATACCTTTCTGTTGTATTTATTTCCCTGTATTTCTGACTCACTGAGGAGTGCCTATAGTACAATGAAGTTGCTCAAGGGCCTATAGGACTGACCTGTGAATGTCCTCTCTGTCTGTTGGTCTATATGTCACATTGAAGTGACAACCCACTGTTGACATTCCAAACAGTTAATACTTAGCGATCATCCACCATACACATTTCAGAAAAACAAAGAAAATATCCTCAGGTTTACATAGCTAATGTTCCATGGTATTTACAAATGTTTTATGAAAATGTGTTATCATTTAATAATGCTGTTACATAATATCAATGATTTTCACCCAAATTATTTCTATCTTTAAATTTTTATTATTTTGTATCTGTTCACTTTGTTACTTTAAACTAACATAGTTAACAACTTAGAAACCAAGCCATGCTGTTTTAAATGTCACCTCAAGCTACTTAAGAAAATTATGTGCTGAGATAATTCATGACATGTTCCCTTTAAGTTAAATAAATGAATCACTTCATTAAAAATGTATTCTGATTAATGATTTTTGCCTCGAGTTAATTGCCCTTAATTGTTATCTACATCAAATATCCAAAATAATAGATGTTTCATGAAAAAAATATTTAAAAGCTATAATTGAAAATGTGAATACAAAAGGTGTTACGCGCAGGTAATTACCATCATTAAAGTTTGTTTCAATTTTGAAGCCAATGTTTAAATGCAAACAAATACAAAATTATAGAAGGCATTAACATGCAAAATGTCACAACCTGCTATTTGTTACAGATGCCAAATGCAAACCACCAAACACCAACTGCCAAACACTAACCACCAAACACCATCCATAAAGACGTATGAGAATATAACCATTTCTGGAGGTGACATAAAAAAAATTTCAGAACTGTTTTGTTTAACCATTTATCAAATTCTTTCATTTATTCAGATACATATATGTATGTGTATATATCAATTAATATAAGGTAAACCTCTGATTATAATTTATATTAACCATTCAGTTTACTTTGAAAATCTTCACACATCATTTTTGAGATGTTCGATAAAGAGAAGATCAGTGAGAATTTCAAAGTAATTTCCATGGCTTTTGCCAATTATTGATAAAATATGTAATATTTACACATAATGATAGGACACATTGTTCAAAATTAACTTATTTCAACACCTCCAAAATTTTCTCTTTTTAACTTTTTATTGAAAGTACAGAACAACGTGAATGTAATAAAAAACATTTAAAACGAACTGAATGACACATATCTCCTCTGGGTATACAAATATACAGTAATGTATTGTCTACCTTCTAATTATCACTGTTTATAATTACACCTAACATTTTGCTGAGCAACTCAACCAGGAATACAGCCGATAATAAAAGTGAAATCACACTTTTGCAAAGGATACTGGGCAACTACACATTACAACTTTATTTCAAATGATTGCAATATAAAATCACAACATAGTTATGATGATAAACTGAGCCTTCTTTCCCTTTATTTTGAAACACCATAGAAATGTCAAGATGAAAGATGATAGAACTTTAAGCCAGTACCATTTATCTGAACACTGAAGCAACATAAAAAATATTCTATCTGCAAATTATAGATGTCATCCTAGTACTCATTAAAAGGTACAGAGCCTGACCAAGAATAATACATCAGGAATATTTATTTCGTTTGGCCTGCTACTCCCACCCCCCCCCCCCATCCCAGGACAAGTCGAGGTTAAAAATAAATAAAATAATGAACATTTTAGGAGACTCAGTGTTCTACTTAAACATAATGTGCAAGTACCGGGTATGTCTAGTAAAACATACACAGGCGGAGAGCATTATACAGAAAGCAAGGGATTATCATGCAAAATGTCACCACTTGTCATTTGTTTCAAAAAAATGTTGGGTCGTAATTTTGAAATTTTGGGTCAAAATCTGAAAATGTAGGCCCAATTTCTTAAAACTGGCTCAAAATTAAAAAATAATGCCTACTTATGCCAGTTTGTTACCTTAATTGCCTTATTTATATGGGGAAAACTACAATCTTTTTGAGCCTCAATTTTATTTTTGCGGGGGGGGCAACCCAGTTCCCCTTATGTTAAACATATGATAGGAATAAAAAACAAAGTATAAGTAAAGGGAAATTAATGGCATAGGTACCTGCTGGGGGCAATTATCCATATACTCAACATATGGGTGTTCCACTCATTTACTGAGACAACAGATGCAAGAATATGAGACAACAAATGCAAGAATACCAGTTTCTACTCAAAGTTCAAATCAATTAATGTCTGCAACCAGGGCTGAATTTCTTCAAGCAAATAAAAGTAAAGAGCATATTTGCTTAGTTTCTTTATAGTTGCATTTGTGAAGCCTAAATGAGATTCTTGAAGTCTCGCTTGAAGACCTCATTACGTAATGTCAGAGCATGTCAGAGCATTTTACCATCATAGCGTAAAAGGTACATGAGTGCCTGCTAAATGTGTGCATGTTACTAAGCGATGACATCAGTGGAAATTACCATATCAAAATGAATGAGTGAAAACAGAGCTCTCTTTTAAGAAGTTGAACAAATGCAAAGAATACTAGTCTTCCTAACCTCTGACTATTACAGATGATTTTACAGTTTCAAGTACCCTGATCGCAGCTAGAGCCTTGCTATAAACAAATTACATCAGAGGAAATGACGATACAGGGTGTCCCGAAAGTATGGGGCCCCCCTAGGCAGACATATACCATCATATATCATTTTAAGCTAATCCAAAGTTACATTGATTTGCCAAATATCATGGTTCAACTCTCAAATGTGGAAAAATTACAGGCATTTCAAAATTTAGTGTTGGCCAAAATTTAGTTCAATTTTACACCAAATCACTAGTCAACATGTCCTCCCGGGCCATATTTACAGCAGCAATTCTTTTCGGGTACGATGGATATTGAGCTGGAAAAAGAGAACGGTGAGGGTAGGTACTCCAAAAAACTCTTCTAAAGTGCCTTAAAAGTTTTTAAGAGGATTACAAAATACCACACCCCTATTTGAAGGGCTTTTAAGGTCATATCTGAAAAGAATTGCTGCTGTTAACATAGACAAGGGAGCTAGCCACATTGACTAGTAATGTGGCATAGAACTGAACTTTATTTTGGAAAAATGCTAAATTTTAAAATGACTGAAATTTTTTCCCATTTGAGAGTTGAATCATGATATTTGACAAATCAATGTAACTTTGGATAAGCTTTAAAATGATATATGACACATAATATGAAGACACTGGTATATGTCTGCCTAGGGGAGGGACCCATACTTTCTGGACACCCTGTATACAGGAAATTGTCCTTCTGGCAATGATGACAAGACCTGGCTGCAAATTTTCATGCTATTAATAACCCTGACATAGACCATCCTCATTCAGAATCCTTAGATTTCAAATAAGGTGTCAGTTTAATGGTCATCTGATAATAAGTAGGTGCAAAAAGAAAGCCTCAGACACAATACACACTACTTACAATTATCACGTAAATGTCAACTTTAATTCAATTCCCACCTCATCATACAATTCTGCATTTTTGTCATTTCATTCAATACGAAATCTAATCACAAATTGACCAGTGGAGCAATAGATATAATTATTAATATCCTACTTTAGCTACTTTTTATCAAATGGATAAAATGGATTAATTAGTAAGATTATATATATCCGAAAGGGGATCTATATATATCTCTAAATTGTCAAATTGAACAGATAAAATTGATTGATACATCAAACTAAAGCTAAAAATAAAACAATTACTGTTGTGCTGAATGAGTTACTTCTCAGTTAAGAGTACATCTTGTATACTGTTTGACGTAATCATTGTAATCTTTGCCACCTACGGTGTATAACATGATATTAATGTTTCATATTTTAAATTGACATAAATAATTAATCACAATAGAGGGATACAATGAGGGTACCCCTACACTCTTGACCAGGGAGTGAATTTTCGGCAAACCTGTTATGAATCTACCTAGCCTATTGACAGGTGTATTTGCGAGGCATATTTTTAGTATACCTTGAGAGTTAGCAGGCATGTAGCTAGCTTTTGCCAAGACGTTCACTTTTCAAAAAATTTCACATTTAGCAACTTTGACCCAAAATCAAAATGGTAAAAAACTGCATGATTTTGAAACAATTTTTGGCCAGCGAACCCCACAAACCCCCCCCCCCCCCCTCCCTTGGTTAGAGCCTAGTGAATTAGAGCAAAATGAACGGAAATGATAATATTGCCTCATCTGTCAGTCTTAAAACCATAGAACATCAAATCAGGCCCTGGAATTAATTTGTTACCCTAGATGCTTCAGACTAGAAAATTGCACTATCTATTCAAACACAGCGTTTGTTATACAGTACCCCCTTGTGCAGAATGGCATTGTTAAGGGAATTAAGGCGAGAATAAGAGACAAGAACTGCAGAAACAATTGCTATCCAAGCTCATCAAAATACATGTATCTTATGTTCCAACTGTATACATGTTACACAACTAAGTAATCAGTATACTATTCCTGTATGTAGAATTGCATGTCAATGTATCAATCAATGAATCAATTAATAAATGAATGAATGGATCAGTTAATAAACATGCAGATAATTCAATCAATCATTCAGCATTTTTTTGTTTTCTATCTCAAGTCCTAGGATCTTAAGATGACAGTCAAAAAGGTGATGTGTATAAAAAGGGTATCATCTGATCATGACTTGCCACATCCCGAAGATATAACATTAACTACCCTGAGTGCAGAGACTAGTTTTAAACAACCCTCTGCCTAATATACGAGTAAACTATATTACAGTTAACAGCCCCACCGCGACTGGTGCCCGTGACAGCCCAGGTCATAACTTATTTCAAACCTAACCATGCTGACCTTTCCTTAACCAATCAGCAAGCTAGAAGGAACATGGGCGTCAACTATGGGATGATGTCAGAGGAAATGCCCATAAATAAAAATTAATCCATATTTCAACGATAAACTTTGATTGGCTCGGAGATTTCAGAGATCCAAGTCCAACAAATGCAAAGGGTAGATATATCGCATACTGCATGTGAAATCAATGTTTACTGCTTCCCATGTTTTCTATGCTGACTAATAAACACTTGACGAGATTTTTAGTAATATAGCAGGAGTGTTCACTAATACCATTACAGGTACCTCGTTAGCTATACTCTAATGTTATATGTCTCTGCTCTAATCTTACCTAATGATCTATGGGAAACTAAACCAAAATAAGGGCATGTAATCCTACATAATAGTCTTTTTGGTAGTAGCATTGTAACAATAATAGAGCAGTCTGTAGAGTCATTCTAGTTTGCTACCTCTGCCTCTCTCACCAAAATCATTTTGTGGGGTCTGACTATTAACATGGGCGACCAACCGCCATCCATAAAAAAAACTTCAACAATATGTCACCATTTCTAGTGGTGACATAATAAAATACTCTAGTGGTGACATAATAAAATATTCTAGTGGTGACATAATAAAATATTCTAGTGATGACATAATAAAATATTCTAGTGGTGACATAATAAAATATTCAAGTGGTGACATAATAAAATATTCTAGTGGTGACATAATAAAATATTCTAGTGGTGACATAATAAAATATATCATAGCAATTGGAAAAAAGAGAATGAAATGGAGGAAGTTGGGGCTAAACCAGGGTAAGCGAAGGATATACGGGAGATGAGACAAATGGCAATGGAGTGGCATTGAGCTGAAAGGTTTCTCCTTAAGGAGACAATGGGATACAGCTGATGTGAATACTCAACCGTGGCAACAAAGTGCCCCACCCCAGTGGGGTTCACTCTAAATAATTTGGGTAGGTATGTCCAGCACAACCAATTTTGGCTTTTGGCATCAACCATGGAAACTCAGGCCAATCTGAGAGGAAAAAAAGGGAGGAAAAAATCACTTGAAATATTTGAGAGAAAGCCCCGGAGCCCAACCCAACTTACCAATCAACAAACCAACCTACCAACTAACCAACCAACCAAACTAGTTTATGAAAATCTAGGTATCATAGAAGGTCTGGCCTTCACCGCAAACATTGACTCATCTATTAACCTAATGTTCACAGGGGACATATTTTCAGGGTTAGTGAATAAATTTGACATGATTGTACTGTAATAATTCTTACCTCTGGGACGATTCCTATCTATAACTGCCACAATAAATCAATGGGAAAATGTTCCCGCTGATTGCACGTACTAGAGGATGACAGTTAGGAAGACAAGGTTAAATGTAAAAGGAATTACGTGTTTTTTATGTCAATTATGAAAATCCAAACCTTGCCCACGTGATAGATAAAACACATGACTTAAATATAGATATTGCTGATAAAATAATGCATTACAGTTCTATAAAATACATGTAGCCAGGATTTTGAAGAAGGAAACTGAATACCAATAGAACTTGAAGAAATCATTTTTGGCTTAGAAATTATTTTTGGCTTTTGAAAATTTGGTTCAATGTTCTTTGAGTTGAGCAAGTTTTATATTTGGAATTTCATTAAAGAGACATAGTGCACAATTAGAGTATCACCTTGATACTTTTGTACTAGTAGATGTAAAACAGGTTTATCCATCTACAGGGTGTTTAAAAAATGCAACCCACCAAACAGCTCATATCATTTTAATAAAGAGAGTATAACAAATCTTGTTTCACAAACAAACTGACTGACTGATAGACAGAGGGCTTCCCTTTATCCCTTCTGAATGATTGTCATATTTCAGTGACATTGATAATCTTAATTTAATTGACCAATTGATAAGTCTTCTCTAGCTTTACTTGATAATTGTTTAATTTATACATTGATTGGGATGTCCTCGATAATTGACCACAGAATTGATATATTCATACATTCAATCACTGAACATTTTAATTTGAGTAGACATTCAAAACTTTCTATTGACATAGGATGATCTTAAGAGAGATGCTGTCTGTGATGAATATGCCTAAAATACCATGTCAGCAAGGAGGGAAAAATTAGCTGAAACTGCCAAAAAAGCAAAAGAAATTGCCAAAGCAAAAGTCTTGCAACAAATGTTCCCCTATTCTCTCTCACATGGGGAGAAGGTAAAATCATTATATTTATGGTAGTCAGAAACTCGATGCACTACAACTATAGAGAAATCTGAGGAAAAAGTCCTCTAATATAGAAAGGATTTATTCAAGCCAAAGACTAAGTCAAACTATTCAAACACTAAGTTACCATATCAACAAGAGAGAAAAATAGACAAGGCCTAGAAAATTGTATCAAATCAACTTTATCCAAATAACCAAACATCATTTTCTGATTATAGAACATCTGAAAATATCTCAGATATGTCATCACATACAATTATTAAAAGATCTAAGAGTCTGCAAATCATCTCGTAATAGAAACCCAGTGACACAGAATTGAAAAGATTTCCCTAATTAGGACCCCTATCAGGAATGATAAAGTCCAAATCTTATATAAATACTGCATAACTCTGAGAGTAAAATCAATAGGTATCAATAGTACAATATACATTATTTATTTGATTGTGAGTAACTTGGATAAAAGAGCGAGTCTGAATATTTAATCCATCATGATATACCATGGCAATTTCTATCAGAGATCTGTCCTTTTTACGAGAAAAGATGTACCCGGAAAACATTTCATTTGTGCAATTTTCTTTTGAAATTCAATAAAAATATTGGTATAATATTTAAAAACTTTAAAACCATATTACGAAGGAAGACTGAAAAATCCCTGCTCAAAAAAACTCATGATCATCTGGTCAACAGTCATCCCCATACTTTATTCCCTTTATGTTTTTAAAGATTTTAATAAATTCATTTTCTCAAAGGTTTGGTTTTTCTTTCAATACATGTTTGTAAATTAGACACTATTGGCAATGACATTATGAGTTGTAAATCCCACATAACATATTTCATTGAGTGGCAGGTATATTCAAATGAATATGAGACATCACTCCATCACTTTTCAAGTGAAAACTAAAGATATAATAATGTAGATATAATATGAGCTGAACAAAAAATAATAATGTTGAACAATATTTCATCGATGCAACTGCAATCGATGGGTTAATACATGTAAATCCCTTATGTTCTATTATTACCAGCCATTACCCCTTTCTTAACAATTCTTCTTAATAATGGATACTTATTATCTAATTGAGAAGCTGAAAGTGAAAATCTATTAAGATATGCCACCTCACAATTATTGATCACGTAATCCTACAAATGAAACGGAGCATTATACTTTTCATGAGTCCTCATTTCATACTTAAATATATTCAGATTGATCTTTGAGCGAAGTTCTAGATGTTGATTGGCAAGGGGTGGCAAAGGAGGGAGAGGGTAATATGGGAGATAGGGGGTGTTACACTACACAGGCATTGTGGGCCTAGGTTGTATAATCACCATGTCTGTCGCTTAGCAATCGACTCAAATTTATCACATCCTCAATGTGTGACAAATATTTAGTTTTCCAATTTACCTAAGAAGCAATCTTTTTTCTCTTTAAACTCAACAAATTGAATTTCATCAGATAATACATTGGCAATATGAGTAAAACAAAGGAAAACATTCAACAAACTACATCCATAACAAGGCATTAACATGAAAAATGTCACCACCTGCCATTTGTTACAGATGCTAAACACTGAACACCGACTGCTGAATGCGAAACACCAACCACTGAACACCGTCAACAAAAAGTTGTGGTGGTGACATAAAAACAGAAACATGGCGCCAAAATCTGTATAAGAGTTATATAACAACCAACTAAAAAAAACATCCGGGTCCATAAAGATTTTTTGTTTAGCTGGACCAAGTGATATGGCGCTGGATATGATGTGATGCTCCCAGCGAAATCGTCACGAAATGTTCAAAAATACAATTTTTTGAAATCTGGGATTTCTATCTTACCCATTATTTGAGTCATTTCTGGAGTGCTTTCAATTTGGAAACCACACTGTGCGCTCATTAGAGAGAATACGGTAAGAGATAAATTGTTGTTTTAAGTTGTATAATGAATGACCATTGTATAGTCATTTTACTTACATGTTATGTTCTCATCATCTGAGCTGTATCCATCGTAATTACCTGGATCTTCATCATCCGAGTCTGATCCTATAGTTATCTTAATGGCATCTTCTATAGGGGGGTATATAGTGGGAGGGCTGCAACCTATTAGGGCGGGCGCAGCTAATAACGCAAGTGCTCCTATCCCAGGCATAGATACAGAAGAAGACAAACCAAAACCAAATCCACGCTCAATTCCATGTTTCTTTTTCTTTGATTGATGAAAACTAAATTTGTCTAATTTTCTCATGATGGGGGACTTCAATGATTGAGTCGGGCGATATGTTGGTGCTTCTTTTACATCTCGATGATGAATCTCCGAAAAACTACGTGACATTAAGCTATCCATGGCTAGAGATGCTAGCATCAATGCAATGTTTGAGATAAGAAGAGTAGATTTATAGAATCACAGCTAATCCAATATAGCGTATTCACGAGATAAATCCATGATATGGTTGCATGACAAAGACGCACTGATTTCTACAACAACAGCAACAAAGAGTGGATGTTTACAAGGAATGATCCCTCTTCAATCATATTACATCCTATTGAAGAATCAATCAAAATTGATATACAGGTTCACAGCATAGAACACATTTCCATTGTTAAGTATCAATTATACGCATGTATTTTAAAAATACCCTTGAGGCAATTTGTAAATAATTATTTTCCTATGCAGGCACAATGTGAATTCTAATTTGTCGTTAATGTTTTAAGTTGCAACTTAAATCAGGTTCATATAATCCATTTTGTTGTTTTTCTTGTTGTAATATATGATACGATTGATAGCTTTCTTTTAATCATGCATTTCGTATCATAGTAAGATATCCTCATAAATGTCTCAATTAAAATACATCTCTGTTGTTTTCCTTTAGGTAAACATCTTATGTTTTGCAAAGAGAATTAAGTAAGCAATCCTGACGAAGCAGTAATTCATTAACTAGTCACTTTTTTATCATCACTCGTTGTCAGTGTGAGTCAATAAACTATAAAACAACAAATCCTACAATTTTTATAATTATGTTCTTCTCCAGCAGCTATTGAATGACACTAGATGATCATATATCAGGACATTGCACAAATCCCCCAGGTAAAGTCCAATCTGTGGCAATTTATCGACTGATTCAGCCAAACAAAAGTAGCGATGATCTTGCCAATTATTTACTCCAGTGGCAGATACTATTCTGGCGTCACACTTTCTCTCAATAAAGGTTCCACTTTCGCTGTCTTTCAGAAGTCAAACTGGCTTAGCTCACTTAAGTAATTCAATCTAACCTACCTATAATCCAATATGTCCATTTATTCTATATATTACATGGTAGAACAACTAGAACATGCATCAGCTATAGAATGGTATACATATGCAAAATGCTTGCTTTTCAGAGCCTTTTGACCAACAAATATTTAATTCATGAATTTTCATTAATATTCATGTATTTCTTGATTTTACAGTAGTTTCTAGAATGTTTTACATTAACATCACTAAGGTGTTACGTGAGTCAGATAGTTTCTTATTTTGGGTTTGCGGATTTCAATTAGCATTAAGGTGTCTCAAAAAAATGTACCCAAAAGTATATCAACAGCATAGACAAACCAATCAATATTTTCAGATATTTTTTGCATGGTCTTGTAGATAAAAGATGAAAGTTTTTTCCCATATACACAATTTTTAATTCAGTTTTGCCCTTTTGATACTTTAACCCGTTACCTTTTACACCACATATTCAATGTAACCTCATATTTCGATGACAGTCTGCATCCTTATTGTTCATCACATTTGATATTTCTGGTGGAATATTTTGATTTCTGTTTGGACGCTGGCCTAAGTTGTTCTAGGTTTCTTAGCTTGGGTTTAGCATAAAAATGGTCCTTCAAATAGCCTCAGAGAAAAAAGTATGGGCTGTCAAATGTGGTGAATAGGGAGGCCCTCACATTGTTTTATAGCCCCCTTATACAGAGAGGTCAGAGGTTCAAGAAACTGCATTGGTTGGGATTCTAGTGTAGCTTTTGTTGTGTGTATCAATTTGAGACCACTGTGTTTTCATTTGGATATCATTTGGTCTCCAGGCTAGCCTGCCTAACTCTGGAAGGTAACTCCTGAATCATTTGCCGATAATTGACCTGATAATCTGTGTTTGTTCTGCCATCGTCATCCTCAAACATCTTTCTCTGTGGCTTTTTGAAGGAGTGTTTTAATGATCATTCCAAGCAAAAAGACCGAGAACAACTTTAGGGCGTTTATTTACTTCACACATCTCAATATCTCTAAGTTGTTCTCTGCGCAGTGTTTCTTAATTCTTAACCTGTTTATCTTGTCAGTTTTAAAGATTATTTTATAATTAATGAAAATCTAAATATACTTATCTTTCAGAGGATTAACAAGAGGGAGGTATAGATCTGTTTTAGATTTTGCTTTGGTTTGGTTCAGGAAATTGATTGCCCAAAGTTGGCACTTACAGCATGTAGATTAAAACACAACTTCAAGGGTTTTAGTTGAATAATCTGTTTTTTATTTTTTAAAAAGATAATAATTTTGAGGGTTTTAATTAAAATTATAATTTTTTTATCAGTCCAATGCACATCCTTCAAATTAGTATGTACCTCTTAAAAACTAGACAAAAATTATAATTTCGATTAAAATCCTCAAAAGTATTATTCTAATCAAAAACCCCAAAATTATTATTTTTATTAAAAATCAAATTATTATTTTAAATAAAAAACCTTGAAGTTGTTATTTTAATCTATATTTAAGATGTAAGTACCAACATTGGACAATCAATTTCCTACTAAATCAAACCAAAATCTAAAACAGATGCATATTTTAGAAAAGGTGCATCTTTACCTTTCCCTCCCTAACTTGCTGACTTGGGGGTGTATCTTATAAAGAAAGTTCATTTACCTTGTTATGGTATACCATTGTAAGAAAGGAGATGTAATGAGAATCACTTGTGTTCAATGTGGACATTATCCGATATAATAGAGTAATTTACACATAGAATGTAGTTTCCTGAACATGCAGTACCACCATGCTGATCCTCTAAGAGTGCATTCACCATTTACAGTTTTATAATTCATTAAAAGTGTTCATGTTCAGTTACAGTAAACAGTAATCCCTAGAAGATTAAACAAGGCATAAACATGCAAGATGTTACCACCTGCTATTTGTTACAGATGCTGACCACAAAACATCAACCTCTGATCACAAACTGATGAATGCCAAACACCAACCACCAAACAACAAACACCAAACAACAACCGCAAAGAGTTGGAGACTATAACAAAATGTGACATAATAAAAATGGGGTCGGAAAAGTGTTCACATTGATAGGTATTCAAGATAGAGAGGTGTTTGGATTTATGAATTTTACTGTACATTATGTTTTGAGCACCATCAGAATGTTCTGTAACTCTGCAGAACACATGGGGATAAAGAAACATTCAAGGAAATTGCCTGTTCTCATTGAGACAGTTATTGTATCAGAAAAGCCGTAAGAGTGATTTTTACAGATTTTTAATCAAGAGCTGTTCCTGTATTGAGAGACCTCACATCCCCATCAGGCCATATCACATTAACTACAGAGGCATAAATAAAGTCATCTGCCACTAGAGCAGGAAAATAATCATTGACTATAGACACGCATCATGCCCTTGTGACCCGCCTCCATATACACCTCAACTCTACAACTGAGAATGTGAATTAGATAGTAGGGGTCAGAGACAAGATGCAATTACTACCTAACTAGACAAATTAGCTTCTACTAACTACAGATGATTAATAAGATCTTAACAACCTTCAATGGAGCTTTAGCTACTCATATATACCCAGGGGTGGATCTGGGAACCAACAAGGGGGGGGGGGCAAATTTCAGGTCAGAGAAGCTTGCGGGAAAAAAAATTTGGGCCCCAAATTTGGAAATTTTTCTTCAAAATTTGCCCTGAAATTAAGAATAAGGCCTTAAAAGGCCCAGTAATGACCAAAAAGGCCCACTTTTAGGGGCCTTAAGGCCTACCTAGTGGGCCAAAAAGTGCCCCCCTCCCAGATCCGCCAGTGATACCAAGAGTTTAAATGTGAAATAAATGTCAGCTTTTGTCCAGACTTTTCTGATTTTCTCTGAATGTGGAATACAGGCTAAAACAAATAATTAGCTCTGATTCAAAGAATATAGATGAAGCCATGCTCCTACAATGGTAACATACAGTAAGACTAAGTAGAAGCTGAGACAGGAATAGAAGCGTGTCTACTAGTGGTACAGTAAAAAGTCCTAGAGTCGCCTTATTGACGTAATCTCAAATAATCATGTCCACTCTAATGTATTTATTTGCGATTTGTTGTAGTCTGTTTAAACCGCTATAATGAACTAGTTAGATGTTAGCAGAGGAAAATACAAAATTATGAACCGGTATGATCTGACATAATCTTTTTGTATTTATGAATGTCACAAATAGACTGTTTTTGAAGTGAATTCATGCAATCTTTACCAACTTTTTATCATGAAATATGAACATCAAGACACATTATTGATGCACTTTCAGCTCCATTTTTCCTAATCTTGTAGACTCGAGTCTCTAAACTCGCACCACTGGTATATATACAGCTAATTTGTCTACCTCCAAGCCTCTGAAAGATATATCCATAGAACATCACTAAAACCTATTTGAGAAGAACACAAACCATATGCTAGAACATAAAAGATACATATACAAGAACAATCTTGAATCAACAACCTCGTGGGTTATGTACACTGCCAGAATGGAGCCAGCCCACATAATCATACTTGAGCAAAATAGTGCCTTGAAGTGCCCTCCTTAGTGATTTTTAAATTACCTCTTCTGCACTAAGGTTCCAATACACCATTGGAAAGCTGAGAGTGTCAGCTTTAAGAATCTAACCTCCATTAAAATTGTGGCTGAATGCAAAATTAGATATTAATCCTTCCACCACCAAGGGGTAAAATTAAGAAATCAATCATGCTTTTTCAATCAAAATATATTTTGACAATCGGTTTCTATTTTCAATCTAAATGTTCATAACAACAAAGTTTGTGGTCTCGGTAACACAATAGTATTTAATAATTATGATGTTTACACTTTGTGGTTAGGATTACATTTTCTCTTTGAAATTACCACCCAATATCCATGAAAACAATGTCAAGTTTCTTTTTTACATCATAATTTTTCATTAATTCCTCATATAAAACAGGAGAATGTACTTTAATTGCATAAAGGATATATTTGTGTCACTCTTCATGATAAGTTGTGTGACTTTGCTTCTCTCCTTAGTTTATATGAGGGTGGAAGAGTGGTTGTATATGAACATACTCTAAATATTCTCCAAACTTATAATTTGACATTGAATTAATTATTGTAAATCTAAAAATAATCCATTCTGGCCATAGGGGTATTTGTCATTTTGAAATTGATTTTCATAAAATTAATAAATAACCCCTTGGGAATGAAAGGGTTAATATCTAATTTTACATTCACTAACTATACAACAGCAACGCCAAAGCATTGCAAATCCCATCGAACAGCCATGGCTGGCATTTTTACAAACAAAGTATATAACAAAAATGGCAGCCATTTTTCAAGCAGAACTTCTACCCCCATAGGGTATATGTGTACAAAATATGAACAAAATCGGGCCAACGATATTT